CCCCCCCTCGGGTCCCCCCGCGCCTGTCCCGGGGCAGGGCAGGACACCGGCGGTGGGCGCAGGAGGCCACGCACCGCGGGGCCGGGCCGCTTGGCGGGTGAGCCCGACTGTAACCAGTGCCCGGCCCCCCGAGGAAGGAGAACGTGTCACAGCGGGCAGCGCCAGCCCCATCCCACCGGGTCGGCATGGCTCCGAGGGCTGGAGGCTCATGTTTCCAAGCGAGCAGGGAAGACACCCTATTTACTGCGCCCCCACGTCCTTCTTTGACCTCCTCACTGGAGGAGAAAGAGGTTTGCTGCCAGAAGGAGGACTCTTTGGCTAGTCCCACAGGCCCCTCTCCCTGTGCAGTGACAGAGGAGGGTCTCATTTCAGCCACTGGATCATCTTCAGCATGATTCCATAATTCTCATGTTTCCCTTCTTTCTGTGCCATTTACTCTTCTGAGGGCACCTCATCTGCCTCCCTTTCCAGACTCCCAGTCTCCTGGCAGACATATCTTCCTTCCCACCCTGTGTTCAGGGTCTGTCCCCACACCCAGTTTCTTCTGGGGTGCAGGTCACAGCACTTGTCCCCAGGACCTGAACCGTGACCTTGCCAGGGTATGCAGAGAGGTACAGACACCCTCTTCACGGGGTATGCTTTGTCCCAGGTATCCTGCCATGTTCCATCACACCAGCGGCTCGGGGCTCTCCAGAGCCTCAGCAGCTCTTGGGGTCTGCCCCCTCCACCCTGACCCTCCTGCTCACCACCAGCCTTCCTGCAGGCCCAGCACACCTATGGTGCATTTGAGCCCTTCCTCTCATTCTGCACAGCTGGAGAACAGAGACCTGGGCTGCCTGCTCAGCCTGGGGTCCAGGTGCTGGCAGCACTCAAGGTCTGAGCACTGTGGGGGTACCGGGACAGCCCAAACGGGCCTTCCCTGGGGACCAGCAGCACTGCTCTGGGCCTTAACAGCTCTTCTTTGCCACCCAGGAAGGTCAATGGGGGCAGGTCACTGTGAGGATTTCAGGTCTGGGTGCCCCTATGAATTTTTGTAAAATCAGCACAACATTGCCATGGGCAGAAACACACTATTGCCTCCCCCTCCCAGGGGAAAGCTG